TAATATATATATATATATATATATATATATATATATATATATAACTATATATATATATATATTATATAATATAGTATATGTATATGTATATGTATATGTATATGTATATGTATATGTATATGCATATGTATATACACCTATATAAATATATATATATACATATATATATTTATATATATATCATACAACTTACAGGGTCAATGATCATGCGGCTGTCCTTGGCACCAATCCACTCTCCGTTGAGAAGACTTTTAGCTTCTGCTGGGGCTTCGTAGCCCTGTTATTACAATTCATAACATCAATTAGCTATTTTAGTGTGGTGATTGAGGTCAGGGTGCGGACGAAACAACTAGCAGGGGAAATTCCAGCGACGCATGAGTATAAAAGAAAGTATAAGGCCTCATACGGTACTATCCAGTTATAGTATATGAATATACAACTCAACGTGAAGATAGGAAGATATTCTTACCATCTTCCATGGATCTACAGTAGCCCAGCTGGGCACCTTCTGATTCAATGCCGCAGCCGCACAAAAGTTACGGCGCGCTGTACCAAACATTCTCGGGGCCATAGCGGCCGTCTTGGCCGATGCCGTGAAAACTGACATGGCTGTATTTATATGTATATATGTTTATTTAAAACGGTTGCACACTACAAGTGATGCTGACATATGTGAAGAGACCAACTATTGTGGTCTGTATTTGATTATATACATATATATATAAATATATACATATTTCCGATCCATACTCCATATTGATCTTCGGAGGTTTCTGTTTTAGCCTCCTCGAAAAATTCACTCATCTCTTGTGGGGAGAGTCCGGAGTCGGACCGGGGACTGTGGGGTGTGGGCCCGTGGCTTGTTGAAGCTATTGTACATATGTGTATGTAATTTTTGTATTAAAAAATTTGTTTAGAACGAAATCCAAATCGGGAAGTCAGAGACTCAAAGGCATACTGGGCCCCCGCCTCCCGGTCTGACAGCGGACAGAAGGGGTCAGGGGGGAGTCAGGGGGCGGTAGCGCGGGGAGTATAAATACCAGAAATGTCGAATGTTTGTATCGGATTTCCATTGGAGCCTTATTTGGCTTTTCCTTTTTTTGGCTAATTGAAAGCCATTGGATGCTCCTAGCACCCAATCAAGCACGACATTCTTTAGATTTGGCGATAGTTGGAGAGTTTGATTGGACAACTGATATCAGTTGAGTACATCCGTTGTTGAGGCAGCACTGGTCAAGTGGTCATCTGTCAAAATGTCAATTGACAGGTCATAAGAGTCATAATGCATATAAAAGACTCATAGCGGATTTTAGAGGTTTTATATAGCCTTCTATTTTTTTTAAAAGATTTTAGATAAAGCCACAAATGTCAACAGCAAGAGAGTTGAAATCGATTTTAGAAACAAACAAAAAAACAAAGGAGAAAGTAAAAAACCCCATTTTTGTTTCAAAAAACAACTGCTGCTGGTGTGTCGTGCTATTTATAGTACATACTGTATTTTTCTTATCTTTTTTTTGGACATGTAATAGCCACAATTCCACAAAGGTGTAGTTCGGTACTGGAATCAGGTACCGAACTACAAAGGTCTACCGCAGGAGGTGAAAAGAAACTGTCACGATGATTAGTGAGCTAATAAATTCAGGCTGATGGATCTGATATTTCAGGAGGGAAGAGCCTAAGGACACCAGGGCTTAACTATGCTGTACAAGGGGTTGGAGGATCACCCCGCATCCTCGCTTTAGGGTTTAAAAACCCTAAAACCCTAAAACCTGGTCCTAATCGGTATTTCGTACTCTGCACTAACCCATTCCACCGCACTACACGGCGCAGACCCGATCCGTACCACAGAGGTGGGTACGCTACTTAGTAGGTCAGCAAGCGAACACATGGCACATTCGATGGTATCAGTGTTTTGTCTGCACCGGCCCGAATTGACTCAGCGCATATCCTCCATCGTCGACTCACTTGGCCCAAGCTTCAAACGGGAATTTATTGACCACTTCTTCCCATCGATCTTTCTCGAACCACTACAACGGCTATGAGAGCCATACCATATGTTTATTCATTGTAACATACATACATTGTAACTTATCTTTTTTGAAATAAATATTATTATCCCTAACAGGGATAAGAATACAGGGGTAAGAATATTACTTAAAATGAAGGTCGGGGAAGATAGTAGCAGCAAACAGAAAGGTATAGGTTCATTCTCCGGTAGACGTAGAGAATATACATCTAGGTTACACAGTATGAATATCCGAGCATTTATGCTGGGAGAGCTCGGAGAATTGTCTAATAAACTGTTGATATTCTACTGTGTTGTGAACTACAATTGCACAAATGTCTGTGCATAACTAGAAGGTGACATTAGAAACACTATAAGAGCTGGCTTTGATTGGCCGTGGTTCCGGTCCTATACACACACAGAGGATTGAGTTCAACTTTTGGGACGTCAAGTAGTTTCCTTTCCCTCATAGATGACAGTGCCAAACGTACGTAGAGGATGGTACACGAAATAAGGGTCTAGGATCGGCCAGTACTGCAGTCGATTTTCCAGTACAGGAGTTCTAACAAAGGCCAATCAACTCTCTGGTGGTCGCGTTAGCTGCTGGAGGGCAGTGGCGTGCCGGCTCTGTGTCATCAGTTTGGATGTCGTACCTGTAAGTGTCGATAGTTGCGTCGCCTCAGCTTGTTGATGTTCTCACAAAGGTCACAGTGGCATCTTCTGACAAGTAACGTACGTCTGCGGCCGAGATCAAAACCGATAGGGCTCATTGTCGATCGCTGCGGCAGTTATTCCGTGCAGTTCAGTGGTCAGACACAAAGTTCAATGCGATCAAGACGCCTATTTCTGTACCCAAGAAATTTCCGAAGTCTTTTTATGGCTTTGTTTCAATTGATGATAAGCGCATAAAAGGGATAGACACTAGTATTGATATTTCGGCTGACAAAAATCAACTGGTTACCTTTATGTGCATAATGGCGTGGTGGTCCTGTGGTATCCGGGGGTTGAGTACATCATTGGTGTCGTTGACCAACTAAAATCGGAAAGGTGTCCGGTTTAATATAAATTTAGACTGCCAAATTGTCTATGATAGGTGCACAACGTGGCTTCTCACGAACGGGATATGTCTTTACTCGCCAAAGCAGCATAAAGTATAAAGTCACATGCTTATCCGGACGCATGTGACGCTGCAATTGGTGGCGCGGTTATGGTTTGACGTGCTCCTAAAGGGGATTTTGCTGATGGAATAAACGATTAGTGGATGGTCAGGTGGAAGGCTCAGTCGACGAGAGTAACTAGGGGTCAAGAATTGTCCTTGAAACTTATCTATGCACAGTTAGCCATAGCTCCGGCGGTGTGGGATTAAAAGAGGCATGGCATGGCTGTATACGATATGATTTATCTGTTTAGCATGGAGAGTTGCTCGTCTAAACTTCCCGGATTTAATGATTTCTGCTACTGAGTTCGTACTTTACAAGATTGCCTTTATGGTGATGGGCTCGTGGATGCCCTTGCAGATCCACAGTGATTATAACCCGCTGGAGACGCTGTTGAAGGGTAGACCGTTGCCGATGGACACGACGAATATCAAGAAACGCCACATACATGTTTTAGGGTTTTAGGATATTAGGGCTTAGTATGCATGCAGTCGAGGTGCATCAAGCGTTATGGCCTGTGAAACGGCTGGTGCCGTTTGGCTGACCTCTGAAGTTGCCGGATCCGGACGATATCTTGCTTATGCCGGCGATATGTGATCAGAGCAACGATGATGAGGTCTTGACCCCACCATTGGCGGGATGTGTTCCAGCCTCATTCGTAAAGCATACCCAACGCTTAAATTTGGCCTGGTTTCGACGGGCGATGGATGAGTGGCCCGGGGTCACCCTTGGCCTATTCGCAGACCGCCAGAATGCCCATTTGCCTTATTATACTTCTGACGGGCCAGGGAGGTGGTACGTGGGGCGGAGATACATTTACAGTCTAAAACCCTTAATTGAGGTTTTTGGGTGGGCATGTCCGCCGTGAGTTTTGGTTCTCCGTTTTCTATCCTACTTTCGATTCTTTGTGAGTGCAACTGCAGTCATGATCGTATCCGTGTGGGCTGGTGCTACGTAGTTTCCTATGTTTTACTGCATGCTGGCTGATATGCCTTTCGTGATGCCACCGCTGGAAGGCACGTACATAGGTGATAATGGAAAGTCCTTGCCTGCTCCGTTCTGGTGTTTGATCATTAGATTGCTCAGGAATGATTTTAGAGTAGGCCTCCAGTTGCTGCCTCGACCGTAGTTGCCGGAGAATGTGAGGGTCAGCTTGGACCTGCCACGCCGGGCGCACCTTGTCACAACCCGGTCGGGTCAGCAGACGGACCCACCCAGCTGTCATCAGCCTCTTAGGGGAGGATATTGAGGAGGTCAGTAATACTGACGTACGGCCACGACCGCTCGAAGGGGTTCGGCAGCAACAGTAGATAACCCGACTATACTATGTGTCGGATTCTGTTGCGGACGACGTCCCTCGGGTCACCGTTCGTTCCAACCGGGTGGAGGTTCCTAAACAGAAACAGCGTGCGCCCTGGTCGTTACAGGTTGCCTTTGAAACCTTGGCTGCTGTGCTATAGGGGTCCCGGTGACTCTCAAGGTTCTGTTGAAAGTGATTAGGCGTCTCCATTCCTCCCACAGGTGTGCACCCCCAGTACGGCTTAACGGTTTGATCCAAGATAAGTTAGGTTTCAACATTTCCGTGGACCTTTTAGAGGATATTGTGGACTTGTGTACGGTCTGTATCGCTCGAAGAGACGCCACAACAGGTCTTATACGCGTGCTGTTGTGCCAACCACTACGTTCGCGGTCTTTTGCAGCAGCATGGCACATTGATTCTTATTTCCATGCCAAGAACCCTGAGAGTAACAATCATATTGTATTTGCTATATGTCGTTTGGCCCTGTTCGCGGCGGCACGTTCGATGCGTCGCCATGAGCAGACGTTGAAAGAGGTCACATCAAAGGCTTTGTGGAGCAACAAATAACATCACGGGGATGGCCTCGAGAACGGATTGTTGACGAAGACAGTACGTTATTGCACCACTCGCTCGGTACTTTGTGTGCGAATAGACATATTACAGTGCATCCGGTTCAGAAGGACCTGTAACATCAGTCGAATGGAATGGCTGAGGTGTTGTGTCGCACTTGCAATCGTTGGTTGTCTCGTTGCCAACCTGAGAGCCAGGATAGTTGATTGCCGGATGCTGTGGCGGAGTTTGTGTCCACCTACAATGCGACGAAGTCTTCCGTTACGGGTATGGCGCCATATACTTTGGCGACAAATAGCCGAGTGTTTTCGCACCATGTTGATGCAGAGCTAATGAATTTTTTATGACTACGCCATATTTGGGCCTACGGATTTGGATAGGCAAACGTGGGCTATGGATGAGAAAGCACAAGCACAGCAGGTTGCTGGCAGGCAAACCGATGGCGGGTAGACGTACTTATGTTCAACATTGGTCGGGTAGGTATGTTCCGACCAGCGCGAAAACCACATATGTCCATGCCGTAGTGTGTGGGTCCGGCTGATATGGTGGCGTTGGACCCTCCAGTATACCACATTGTTCGTATGTGAGCAACCGGGCAACTGTTGTGTATCGTGTGCACGCCAGTGATATTCGGGCATACCGCATTCCGTT